TGCTCGTCACACTCGTGATGCTGCTCTCTGTTGTACTGCTCGTCGACGTGCTGGGTGCAGTTGTGGTGCTGGTATCGGACGTGCCCGTCGCACTCGTGGTGCTGCTCTCAGTCGTGTTGATCGCCGACGTGTTGGGCGCAGTGGTGATGCTGGTATCGGTCGTGCTCGTCCCACTCGCGGTGCCACTCACAGACGTACTGCTCGCCGGCGTGCTGCTGCTGGCACCCGTCGTGCTCGTCCCACTCGTAGTGCGGTTCTCGAATGTATTGCTAACCGACGTACTTGGGGTAATGGTGCTGCTGGTGCCGATCGTGCCCGTCACGCTCGTGATGCTGCTCTCGGTTGTACTGCTTGCCGACGTGCTGAGCGCAGTGGTGATACTGGTATCGGCCATGCCCATCAGACTCGTGGTATTGTTCCCGATCGTACTGCTTGCCGACGCGTTGGGAACCGTGGAGTTGCTGGTACCGGTCGTGTTCGTCCCATTCTTGGTGCAGCTCTCTGTCGTACTGCTCGCCGACGTACTGGGCGTAGTGGTGCTGCTGGCACCGGTTGCGCTCGTCACACTGGTGGTGCTGCTCTCGGTTGTACTCCTCATCGACGTGCTCGGCGCAGTGATGCTGCTGGTGCCGATCGTGCTCGTCACGCTCGTGATGAGGCTCTCGGTCGTACTGCTCGCCGACGTGCTGGGCGCAGTGATAATGCTGCTCGCCACCGTGCTGTGTGCAATGGTGCTGCTGGTACTGGAGGAGCTCGTTAAGCACATGGTGCTGTCACCACCCGCACTGCTCGCCGGCGTCCTCTGCGGAGTGGTGCTACTGGTACCTGTCGTGTTCGGAACACTCGTGGTTGTGCTCTCACCCGTGCTGGGAGGCGACGTGCTGGGCGCAGTTGTGCTGCAGGTGCCAGTCGCCCTCGTGACACACGTGGTGCTGCACTCCCTCCTGCATCTCGTCGAAGCGCTGGGCGTGGTGGTGTTGCTGGTACCGGTCGTGCTCGGAGCAGTGGTGGTACTGTCCTCACTCGTACTGCTCACCGACGTGCTGGGCGTAGTGATGCTGCTGATACAGAACATGCTCGTAACACACGCGGTGCTGCTCTCGCTCTCGCTGGTCGCCCCCGTGCTGTGTGTAGTGGTGCTGTTGGTACTGGTCGGCCTTGTGACGCTCATGGTGCTGCTCTCACTCCTGTTGCTCGCCGACGTGCTGGGCGCAGTGGTGTTGCTCTCACTCGTACTGCTCACCGACGCGCTTGGCTTGGTTGTGCTGCTGGTCCTGTTCGTGCTCGTCACACTCCTGGTGATGCTCTCGGTCGTACTGCTCGCCGACGTTCTGGACGTGGTGGTGCTGCTGGTGCCAGTCGTGCTCGTCACACTCCTGGTGCTGTTCTCGGTTGTACTGCTGACCTATGTGCTGGGCGAAATGGTGCTACAGGTACTGGGCGTGATCGGCACACTCGAGGTGATGCTTTCGGTCGTCCCGCTCGCCGACGTGCTGGGCGTAGTGGTGCTGCTAATACCGGTCGTGCTCGTCGCGCCCATGGTGCTGCTCTCGGTAATAATGCTCACCGGCGTGCTGGACGCGGTGGTGCAACTGGTACCGTTCATGCTCGTTACGCACGCGGTGCTGCTCTCGGTCGTGCTGCTCGCCGACGAGCCGGACGTAGTGGTGCTGTTGTGCTGGTCGTGCTCGTCACACTCGCGGTGCTGCACTCGGTCTGACTGCTCGCCCACGTGCTGGGCGTAGTGGCGCTGCCGGTACCAGTCGTGCTAGTCACACTTCTGGTGCTGCTTTCGGTCGTACTGCTCGCCGACGCTCTGGGCGCAGTGGTGCTGCTGGTCCCGGTAATGCTCGTCACCGTCGTGGTGCTGCTTTCGGTCGTACTGCTCGCCGCCGTGGTGGACGGAGTGATGCTGCTGGTACCTGTTGTGTTCGTCAAGCTCGTGGTGTTGCTCCCGTCTGTACTGCTCTCAACCGTGCCCGGCGTAGTGGTGCTGCTGGTACCGGTCGTGCTCGTCACGCACCCGGTGCCGCTCTCGGTCGTACTGTTCGCCGACGTGCTGGACGTAGTGGTGCTCCTGTTGCCGGTCGTGCTCGCCACACTCGTGGTGCTGTTTTCGGTTGTACTGCTGGCCGAAGTGCTGGGCAAAGTGGTGCTTCTGGCACAGGTCATGCTCGTCGCACTCGTGGTGCTGCTCTCGGTCGCACTGCTCGCCGACCTGCTGGGCGCAGTGGTGCTGCTGGTACCGGTCTTACTCGTCGCACTCGTGGTGCTGGGCTCGGTCGGACCGCTCGCCGCCGTGCCGGGTGCAGTGGTGCTGCTGAAATCGGTCGTGATCGACACTCTCGCGGTGCTGTTCTCGGTCGTACTGCTCGCCGACGTGCTGAGCGTACCCGTACTGCTGGTACTAGTCGTGCTCGTCACCCTCGTGGTGCTGATCTCGGTCGTACCGCCCGCCGACGTACTGGGCGTAGTGGTGCCGCTGGTATCGGTCGTGGTCGTACCACTCGCGGCGCTGCTCTCAGTAGTATTGCTCGCCGACGTGCTGGGCGTAGTGGTGCTGCTGGTGCCGGTCATCTCTGATCGAGATCTGATCGAGATCTGATCGGGGTCTGACTGGGAGCCGGTAAGGCTGCGTCGTTCCGTGCAAAGACGCGATCGACTACGAGTGGGTTCGGACGGGCGCCGTCATCACGCTCGGCGAGCTGTTCTTGCGGCTCGGCCGGAAGTTCAGTTGCAAGAAGATATATGCCTTCTTCCGGACGCTCCGGCTGGTGGCGCTCAAGAGGGACAAGGCGGCGACGAGGGCAGCGCCAGGCTCTGCCAGCGCGGGCTCTGGGTCCACAGTCGCGGGGATTAGCGGAGGCCCCCTGCAGGCCACGCGCATCCAGTCTGAGTTTCGGAAGCAAGACGCCCTGGTCGCGGAGTACATCGACTTGAAGGGCCTGACAACAGAATACGTGAAAGAGAAGGGGCCTGCCTGTATGCTGAAAGAGGCAGTCAATCTAAAGGCTACGCCTCTGCCGCACGCCCCCTTTCCGATGCCATGCAAAACATGGTGCCAATGATGATGTTGACGGTGATGCTGTGCTGATGGTGGCGCTGGTGCTGGTGATGGTTGTGGTGATGGTGATGATGACGATGACGATGAGGCTGTGGCTGGTGATGGTGGCGAATGTGATGATGATTGTGATGATGATAGTGATGCTGGTGCTGGTGATGATGCTGATGTTGATGGTGGTGGTGGTGATGGTGGCGGTGGTGGTCATTGTGAGGACGCGGGTAGCGACGATTATGGTGGCGACGATGACGACAATGACGAGCCACGAGCAATGCTGCCATGTGTTTATTACATACAACCGGGCTGCGGTCAAACTTGCGGACGTGACCTCCCTGGCAACCTGCGAGCGGGTGCTTCGCAGCCTCGTGGCCCCACAAGGGGGCCGGCGGACTTCGTGTATCTGGTCGTTCTCGCCGACCTGAGTCCGCCGTGGCTCTGCCAGCAGTTCCCCCAAGCCCTGCCAGGGGACAGTCTGCTATCCCAGTTCACGAGGCCGTCGTTCCTGTGCTGGCTCGAGCTCGACACGGACAAGGTCTTCGGGTCGTCCGCGTCCGGTTTGCTGCTCAGCGCGTGCAGAAAGAGTTCGCGGGGGTCATAGCACGCCCTCTGTACAGGTGCACCGAGATGGTCGGCGGGCACATGTGCTCCAACGTGGCCTCCATGTCTCGCTTCATGGACAGCCCGCGCGGCCGGCCACCTTGCTGGTGCAGGAAGTGCGCGGAGAAGCTCCAGCGCGCCGGCGACGCGCCAGGCTCTGCCAGCGCCTCTCTCCACGCGTTGTGGGCGTACCCCATGGTCAAGGACCCGCAGGGTCAGCCCACGCCGCTTCATGTCGCCGGGCCAGTCCGGCTTCTTTTGCACGCGACGCCAGCGACATGGCGTTGGCCCACGATCCATCGGTTCGTCGCCCGTGCGCATGCGAACCCGGCTCCGATCGCCGGTGGTATCACCTGGAGCGGCCGACGCGAGGAGTTGCACGCCTACAGCGAGACAGAGAGTGCCGCGCCGTGGTTCCGCTCTCAGCCGTTCAAGGCCCAGCCTGTGATTTTGTCGTAGGTGGCGCTAGGCTCTGCCAGCGCCAGGCTCTGCCAGCGATAGGGGCACGCCCAAGACGAGAGGTACGGGTCTGCCAGCGCCAGGCTCTGCCAGCGCAGGGCTCGCGCCCGAGGTCGGAACGCAAGCGCTCCGCTCCGCGTCCCACGCCGCGCGCTTGGATGTACGAGGCGCGCTTTGCGTCCAAGAAAAAACACGCCGGCGGCTGCCGAATCGATCGTCGTTCGACTGCCGATCTTGTCTCAAGTCGTCGGTCGTTTCATGATCTTGTAGTCGTCTCGATGCGATGTTGGTTCTTTGTCTTCGTGTGTTTCGGCCCCGTCTTTCTCTATGATTCGATCGCCGGTCGTCTGATCGATCGCCGATCGTCCTTTGGGTGGGTCGACAGCTCGATCCGACTTCGACTTGGCAGGCGAAGTTAGCTTTGGTAGTTCGGCGGAGAAGGAGGAGGAGGAGAAGGCGGGGAGGGAGGAGGAGGAGGAGAAGGCGGGGAGGGAGGAGGAGGAGGAGGAGGAGGAGGAGGAGGAGGGGGAGGAGGAGGAGAGGAGGGGGAGGAGGAGGAGGAGGTGGAGGAAGAGAAGGAGGAGGAGGAGGAGGAGGAAAACTCTCCACCTCCTCCTCCTCGCCCCCCTCCCCTCCCCGATCCGAGCACTAGTTAACTCCCTCCTCCTCCTCTCCTCCCGGCGGGGATGAGGGGGTGAGGAGTGACACAGAAGAGGAGGAGGAGGAGGAGGAGGAGGAGGAGGAGGAGGAGGAGGAGGAAGCAGAGGAGGAGGAGGAAGCAGAGGAGGAGGAGGAGGAGGAGGAGGAGGACAGAAAACACTCTTCCCTCCGCAGCCGTTTCGCTTACAGCGGCTCAGCGGGACTGCACGGCGACCGGGCGGCCATGCCGATCGAGCCGCCGAGCGCCCGGTGGATGCAGTTCCGGGATGGTCGGTGGGCCCCCCGAGCGCCAGGCTCTGCCAGCGCAGCGGAGGCTCACAGGCCCGCAGGCTCACGGGAGCCACGCTCTCGGGCGCCAGGCCCTGCCAGCGCAGAAGAGTGCAGTGGTCCCAGAAAGGAGAGCCAGCGGTTCGCTTACAGCGAGAACTCCACAGCTGGGTTCGTCGAGCTGAGCCCTTCGCACGTCATGACGCCAGATAGTCTGCACATCGCCCTCGCTGCTGATCGCGCGGTCCGTCGTGCCGTGCGCAACAGCACCAAGACGTCGCAGGGCAACGTCGGCAGCCACTACATGGAGCAGAACCTTCTCGTCTACGTGGCTGGGTTCGAAAGGCCGGTGGAGTTCGAACTGACGCGCCATCTGCACATGAAGCCGGCGCCCGGCCGATCGTATACTGTCACTGCGCGCTTCAAACAACCGCCCATTGGCATGGAGGCCGTGGCGTGGCAGGTCTTGCTGCGCATCACCAAAGGCAAGGAGCTCCTGCCGCAGTGGGTGCAGCAGTACGCGAGGCGCTCGCTAGCCCGGATCGGCCACGAGCTCGCAGGAGATGCGACGGCGCCAGCGGCGACGGCCGACGGGCCGGCACCAGCCCCGCAGGCCCCCCCGCAAGTCGCGACCAGTGGGCCAGGCTCTGCCAGCACTGCGACCCAAGCTCTGCCCGGCACCTCGCAGGAGCTCGCCTGGCGCCCGAGCCTCCCTCGGCCCGAGGCACAGGCGCCCGAGCCTCTCTTGGCCTCCACGCAGGCGAGGCCACGCGTTGTGGCGGAGGGAGAGGGGGAGGAGGGGCCAAGTTCTGCCAGCCCGCCAGCCGCCGTGCCGCTGGAGGACGAGCGCGAGAAAGATCACCCGCTGGGTGGGCACGAGAGCACGTTCGGGCCGGGCACCGTGGCGGGGGAGGAGGCGGAGAAGGAGCCAGGCTCTGCCAGCTCGCCTACCGCCGTGACAGTGGAGGACGCGGGCGAGGAAGATCATCCACTGGATGGGCACGAGAACACGTTCGAGCCGGACTGGGACGCGCCAGCCGAAGACACAGGAGCGGAACTAGCCGACGACGCCAAGGCAGAGCTCCAAGAGGCGGCGGACGTGGACGAAGCGACGTTGCGCCAGCGGAGGATCGATCGGGCGAACACGTTTCTCGAGTTCAGCTCTGTCGATGGTCCTCTTCCTCGGTTCGTGGAGGTCGTGTGGCAACAGGGCATGTCCGAGAGCCCCGACACCGAGCTAGCGCGGGCGACGCAGGCGAACGTGGTGGAGCACGCGCGCTGGCGGGCCACGGACAATTTCCCTGTGGACGCCGCGTCTGTCGGTCATATTCAGCACATGCGGGCCGTGCTCCACGCTGCCAACGTCGTCTCAGCGCAGGCCAGAACGCATGTGCCGGACTTGCGGGACATCGTCAACGATCGAGTCCCTGCGCCGGGCTCTGCCAGCGCGACTCAGGCCTCCCAGTCGCTGGGCGATTTCCTGCACGCCGCCTCCAGAAGGTCTCTACAGGTCACAGCTTTCCACTCGAAGCCCAAACCTGGCGAGCCAGACCGGCGCCCCGCACTGCGGGCGCACTCTTGGCGGACCTCCCGGACACCACCCACCAGAAACTCTCCCGGCAGCAGCTCGAGACTGCTGACGGTTGCGCTCGAGCGGTCGTGCAGCTGGCAACGGGCTTGCACAAGGGGGAGGTGGTGGAGTTGGATCCGGAGCAGACAAGATGGGTTCTTGTGGAGAAAGCGCCAGGCTCTGCCAGTGCCTCCACCGGGTTCAGCGCACAGTGGTTCTGCGTCGCTGGTGGGCAACCTGCGGGGGTTAACTTGTTCCCCCATCAGTGGCCAGAGTTCGGCCAACCTCGTGGGCAGATAGCCCTCGCAGACATCAGGGACCAGATCGCTGGGCTGCAGGGGCGTCTCGGCAACGCCGACACGGTTGACTGGCGGACGTACTGCCCGGACTGGGTGGCGCAGCGCTACCGTTGCGTCGTGCCGTGCGCCAGCACGACCGACTACGAGTGGGTTCGCTTGGGCCCCGTCGTCACTCTCGGGGAGCTTTTCGTGCAGCTCGGCAAGTTCTTCACAGCCAAGCGCATGTGCGCCTTCTTCCGGACGCTCCGGATAGTGGCGCTCAAGAGGGACAAGCTGTCAACGAACGAAGCGCCAGGCTCTGCCAGCGCAGTTCCTGGGCCCACCACCGGCGGAGTCGCAGGGGGCCCCTTGCAAGCACACAGGATCATGACCCAATTTCGCAAAGAAGGTGCGCTCGTCGCGGAGTACATCGACCTCAGAGGTTTGACCACGCAGCGCGTTGAAGAGAGGGGGCCAAAGCGCATGATGAAAGAGGCCATCAACTTCATGCGCCCTCTTCTGCTCAGGGACCTGACCCCGCCGTGGATCACGGAACAGTTCCCCCAGGCGCTGCCAGGGGATGGTCTGTTGAGCAAGTTCACGAGGCCTTCGTTTCTGTGCTGGCCTGGTGCCGACGCTGATGTGCCTTTCGGCGCGGCCGTGTCCGGTGTGCCCAGGGGGCGCGCAGGCATGGTGCAGAAGGAGCTCGCCGGTGTCATCGCACGTCCTCTCTACCAGTGCACCGCGCTGGTCGACGGGCACATGTGCTCCAACGTGGCCTCCATGTCGCGGTTCATGCAGAACCCAGAGGGGCGCCCGCCGTGCCGTTGCCACGACTGCGCCGGCAGGCTGCAGGGCGCGGGCGATGCGCCAGGCTCTGCCAGCGCCGCGCTCCGTGCCTTGTGGGCTTACCCCATGGTCAGGGACCCGGAGGGCCAGCCCACGCCGGTTCGAGTCTCGGCTCCACTCCGGCTTCTGGTGCACGCTCCGCCTGTTGGGTGGGGCTGGCGCGCGACGCCGACGGAGCCACCACCTCGCGCTGGTGTTGTGCCAGTTCCGACCGTAGGGGAGGTCAAAGAGAGCGGCCGCTCTGAGCGGCTGTACATCTACAACGAGGCAGACAGTGCCGCCATTTGGTTCGGCTCTCAGTCGTTCAAGGCCATGGGCCAGTAGAAGGTGCCAGGCTCTGCCAGCGCCAGGCTGTGCCAGCGCCAGGCTCCAGCGCCAAGCTCTGCCAGCACAGGTCAAGCCAGGCGCCGCGCGCGCTGCGCAATGCACTGCGGTCGGCCGAGAAAAAAAGTCTGCCGCGCGCGGGAGAGGTGGGAGAGGAGGAGGCGGAGGAGGAGGAGGAGGAGGAGGAGGAGGAGGAGAAGGAGATGGAGGAGGAGGACGAGGAAGAGGAGGAGGAGGCGGAGGAGGAGGGAGGAGGGAGGAGGGATGAGCAGGAGGAGGAGGAGGAAGAAGAGGAGAAGCAGAAGGAGGAGGAGGAGGAGCAGGAGGAGGGAGGAGAGGGGAGGGGCGGGGAGGAGAGGGAGGAGGAGGAGGGGGACGAGGAGGAGGAGCGGGGCGAGGAGGGGGAGGGGCTGGCATTTATTTGTCCTCTGCCCCTGTTTGGCTTGTTTCGTCAACACCATCCTCGTCGCTATCTCGTCTTGCTCGCTGTCACGCGCGTCGTTGCTGCCGACGCGGGGTGGTCGCCATCATCGCCCGCATTGGCGCCGCCACCATCGCCGTCGCCATCGCCGCCATCACTTGCGCTGCTCTTTCATGTGCGCGAGTGCCTTTTGTATGGACTCTTCCTTTTGTGCGGGGTGGTCGCCTGGTCGCCGTCTGGCTCAAGCCATCTTGAAGCACGCACTCCAGCCGCGTCTTCCACGCGCGCGCGCGGTCTGCCTCCGAAGGCCAGGCTCTGCCAGCCCCATGCTTTCCAAAAGCGGGGAGACGCTGAAGAATATGAACGGCACAGCGGCAAAGTATGCCAAATGGTTTGTGAGGGTTCTGGACCCCAAGGTCATCGAATACTCGTTTCAAGCCAAAGGCGAGCGAGTCGAAGCGAAGAAATTCCAGTGCGTTCTTGTCCTCGGATCCTAAACAGTACATGATGGGGCTGGTGCCTTTCGATTTCAAAGATCGGGGCGCAGCGGCCAGCGCGGCTCAGAAGTTCACGGCAGAGTCGGTCTGGGACCTCGTAAACCCTACCTTCGACACCAAATCAAAGCCTGAATTCAACGGCTGCCCGGTCAAGGGCACCGTCTTGCTCTCGAAGCCCACGGCCACCACGAGAGTCTTTCCCACGAGTCAGGAGGCGCTGAACTACCCGGCCAGAGGTCTGCACATCCCTTTGGCCATCACGGACATCGTGAAGCTCCTGAAAGGTCCAAGCACTGCCAGCCGCTTGACGTTCGACTTCTCTGGGAAGTTCCTGAGCATTAGCAAACCGAGACAGTGGACCAAAAGAGCCACGGTGTACAACGTGGCCGATGCTGAGTTCATGGGCCCGGAGGGAAGCAGGATCGCGGTGGGCGCGTGGCAGGGCGCCAAGGAATACTTCGCTCAGGTGAGCCCCAGTACCGGCGTTGCCGTGGTCGGCGCCACTGCAACGAAAGAGGAGGCCGAGGTGAAGGTAAACATCTGGCCAGGGGCGCATGTGTCCACCACCGGGGGACAGGCTCAGTCTCTGACAAGCCAAGATGTTCTCCAGGGCACGCTTCTCGCGCCCACTTTCACACCAGGTCGCGGCGGACGAACTAGCTAGCACCCAAGGCGCACCCCGCGTGCGCTGCGGCGCTGGCCGATTCCGCTGCCAAAGCAGGCCCCATTACTTTCCAGATCAATAAGTGCATCTTGGACCCGCCGTTGCAAGAGGGAGCCATGCGCACGCAGGACGGCCGTCTCTTCCTCAAAAACTGCCGCCTTCGGGATGGCACCGGCGCGGTCGACGTTGATGTGGTGGACAAAGTCGATCCGTCTCTGTACGGGTGCGCCGATGCACACGAAGTGCGCGCGGGTCTTGCTGCCCAGTCTCTGACAGGCATTAAAGACAGGTGCAACGCGCGTGGCATTCTACGTGAAGGGGGGGGGGAGCGGCGAGGCGTTACATCTTGGAGGTGTACGCCACACCCCTGGACGCCAAGGTATCCATACTGGCCGCGCGCTTGTGCAAGGGCCTGTCCACGGTGGTCAGCGAGGTCGCGCCTCCGGTCCCAGCGTCCCGCGTCGTGGACGACCCGCTCGTCGGCATGGCGACCCGCCGGGGTGATGACCAGCTCATCGATGCACATCGCCTCTTGCTTCTGGTGAAGGGGCACGACTAAAACCACGTTGGGCCCCATCGACTCCGCCAAGCCCACGGATCAGCAGGCATTCATGGTCTCGTCGCAAGCAGACTGCTTGCTGAGCGACACGCCGGTGAAGGTGAACCTGGTGGGGTACTGCGACTTCGCCAAGATGCTAACGCACCGCTTGGACAGCGAATCGGCACTCGTCCTTGCTTCTGCCATCGAGCTCACTGAGCCATCGGCGCCAGGCTCTGCCAGCGACCCCGCTGGCAGTGGGCTGGTTTACACGGTGGAGCACGTGACCGAGCTATCCAAGGACGAAGTAGCGGCGCTGACCATCAGTCTCGCGGCAGAGCGGAAGGCCATCTTGACGAACCAAGATGGCGCGACCGCAGGTGCCACTCCGCCTCCAGTGTCATCCGCAGACCCAGCCAACCCGTACTGGTCGGAAGAACGTCAGCGCAAAGTGCGGCGAGTGCTTTCGGAGCCCCAGTCGCCATTGGCATCTGCACTCGCGGTGGCACAGTTGCGCGAGCCCGCAGCGTGATTGCCGCGCGGGGTCCCGCTGCGGCCAGGCTCTGCCAGCGCGTTCCCCATCCAGGTACCCACGCGCGTGCCAGTCGCCCTCGGCGCTGGACCGCAAAAACCGCGCACCAGGCCCTGCCAATGCATGTCCCGGCGCGGCTGCGGGGTGCCGGTGCGGAAGCTGGTACACCAGAGGCGGGCGCGCGCCTGGTTGAGCTCGTCAGCCAGTGTCTCTGGACGCATTGCAGTGAATTCGACCCGTCTTGGATTTCGCGTAAGTGGACGGGCCGAGAGCCGCACGACGAGCGTGTGTACGCGGAGTTCAACAAGCTCCTGCCGCCCGGTGGCATGAAGGAGTTCGTTCAGAACCACCCGGAATTCGCACGGCGCCCCAGGGACCCGCGCCAGCCTGACAAAGGCATGGTCATCACGTGGGCGCTGCCAGTGCAGGCCAACACGGCACCAGGCGCTGCCAGTGCATCTGGCAGCAGTGTCCCTGCTGAGCAAGTGGCACCGCCCGCCACAAACAGCCAGTCGTTTCCACCGACGCTGGGCGGAGGGTGCTCGTCGACGCCAGGCACTGCCAGCGTGACTCCCAAGCCAGGATAGGAGAGGTCCGGACGCACGCACCAAGCACTGCCAGTGCACCCATCATCGACTGGGACGTCGTCGGCTGAGTGCCGCGTCGCGCAGCGGCAAACCGAACGACACAAGTCGCCCAAGCGAAGGAACAAAAAAAAATCCGCCACGTCATCCGCACCATCATCGCCCATCAGCACCACGTTCAACACAGTTGTCGTCATGAGCCCCCCCCCGCACCCCACCCCCACACAACCTCCTTATCACCCGCAAGGTGGTCGTATAGGTGTATGTATATATATATATATATATATATATCGGAGTTCCACGCGGATTTCTCGGATCGACGATGGACCCACCTTCCCTGGCGCGCGGAGCGCGCTAGCGCCGATCCAAGAAATCCGTGCGGAACTTAGAGAAATCATGTCTATGCCGCCTTTTGCTCCTCGAAGCTCGCGCGCAGGTGCGCCTGCTGGCCCGCGCGCCGATCGAGGAGCTGCGCCGAGTCCCTCAGCCTGGCTCCCCTTGGGGCCGCTCCCACCGCGCTTTTGCGCATTTTGCTCCTCGGGAGCTGGCAGCGGCTGCCCTGGGCGCAACCACGCCTCGGCCCCACCAGGCACCTCATCGTCGGGAGCGGCCAAGAGGGGGGTGTCCAAGAGGGGGGGGGTGCAAATCATGACCGGCGGCATGTGCGCAGCCCAGCGGGGGGGCCAGGGACGTAATGAAATGAGAAGAGGCGCCATGAAATGCTCCCACCGTGCTTTTGACGCTTTACTGCTCCTCGGGAGCTGGCGGCGGCTGCCAAAGGCCACAGCCACGCCTCGGCCCCACCAGGCACCTCATCGCGCCCCGACGCCGCCGCACCCATAGGCGGCGACATCCGAGAGAACGTGACCCACCGCCGCTCTAGTGTGGAAAATTCCCCCCTCTTCCTCCGCAACCCGGGGGTCCCTCCCCCCCCCTCGAAAATCCCCCCCCTGCTGGACCCCCCCCCTTCCCTCCCCCGGACCCACCGCCGCTCCCCCCCCCTACGACTGTACCACCGTCCGCACCACATCCCCCACTGTTGTTCCCAGCGCCACTGTCCTCACCACCACTGTCCCCACTGGTTCCACCACCGTCCCTACTGTCCCCACCATTGCCCCCACCACTGTCGAACTGTCCCCACTGTCCCCACCACTGTGCTCACCACGGTTCCACTCTCCCCACATTCTCCACGGCCCCAACCACTGCCCAACTATCCCCACTGTCCCCACTGTCCCACTGACTCCTCCGCTGTCCCACTGAGCTGTCCAACTGTTCCCACCACTGTTCCCACTGTACCTCTGTCCCATTGTTCCACCGCCGTCCTCGCCACCGCCTTCACCACTGTCCCCACCACCACTGTACCCTCCACTGTCCTACTGTTTCCACCACATTCCCAGTGTCCCCACACCACTGTTCCCACCACTACCGTCCCCACCACTGTCCCACTGTCCCCACCACTGTCCCGCTGTCTCCTCACCACTGTCCCCACCACCACCGTCCCCACCACTGTCCGCCCCCCCCCCCGGTTTTCGAGGGGGGGGGGAGGGTTCGAACCGGTAGTGACCCCCCCCCTTTTCATGATGGACTGGGGGGGGGGAAGGACCCCCCCGGTTTTCCGGAGGGGGGGTGGTTCGAACCCGTAGTGACCCCCCCCCCGGTTTCCGCCAGCAGTGGTAGAGAACACGCTCTTTCCGACATCCGAACCCTCCTCCTCCTCCTCCTCCTCCTCCTCCTCCTCCTTCTGCTCCTCCTATTCCTTCTTTC